CTCTTCAATCACATCATCTTCTTCTTCTGGGTTGCTGGCGTTGTACTCCTTCGTTTTGAATTTTGGAGTGATCAAGTCGTGGATGGCGTCGCCACAGTAGAAACATCTGGATTTCTTATTCAGCCATTAAGAGACCTAACAAAGTGGATCTTCCGCTTGTGCTCATCACTACCACCACAATCCCTCTCACCCAACTTTGAAATTGACCACTCAGTTTCAGTTAATCAATTCGCAACTACAATATCTCTTATTCTTGCTGCCCTGTAATTAGAGTCGAACAGTGTAATCAGGAAAAGGGATTTCACCATCGCTCGATCCCTCAGTAGAGATTGATCGATTATGTAACGACCCACTCCACCACATGGTATGATATTGTCCGCTTTGGGCTTGAGCCCTCACGGTTTTGCTCTTGAGTTTCACCCCAAAAGGCCTCATACCAATTGGAGGTGACACACTTACATATACGCACTTCACCTTTCCTCTACTCAGGCGATGTGGGACTGTGCACTCGTAGCTCGCCAGTGTGGTAGCCTGACAGTGTCTTTCGCACCCGCCCACAGGGTCATCACAATCCACCCCCCTTGGAGGCCCGACATTCTCATCGGCACACTTCAGGCTGGGTCAGGCTCTGATACCATTTGTAACGACCCACTCCACCACATGGTATGATATTGTCCGTTTTGGGCCTGAGCCCTCACGGTTTTGCTCTTGGGTTTCACCCCAAAAGGCATCATACCAATTGGAGATGACACACTTACATATAAACACTTCACCTTTCCTCTACCCAGGCGATGTGGGACTATGCACCCGTAACTCGCCAGTGTGGTAGCCTGACAGTGTCTCTCGCACCCGCCCACAGGGTCATCACAATCCACCCCCCTTGGAGGCCCGACGTCCCCGTCGGCACACTTCTGGCTGGGTCAGGCTCTGATACCATTTGTAACGACCCACTCCATCACATGGTATAATATTGTCCGCTTTGGGCCTGAGCCCTCACGGTTTTGCTCTTGGGTTTCACCCCAAAAGGCCTCATACCAATTGGAGGTGACACACTTACATATAAGTAAGTTCACCTTTCCTCTACCCAGGCGATGTGAGACTGTGCATCCGTAACTCGCCAGTGTGGTAGCGACACACCCGCCCACAGGGTCATCACAATCCACCCCCCTTGGAGGTCCGACGTCCTCGTCGGCACACTTCCGGCTGAGTCAGACTCTGATACCATTTGTAACGACCCACTCCACCACATGGTATGATATTGTCCGCTTTGGGCCTGAGGCCGCACAGTTTTGCTCTTGGGCTTTACCCCAAAAGGCCTCACACCAATTGGAGATGACACACTTACATATAAGCGCTTCACCTTTCCTCTACCCAGGCGATGTGGGACTGTGCACCCGTAGCTCACCAGTGTGGTAGCCTGTTAGTGTCTCTTGCACCCGCCCACATGGTCATCACAATCCACCCCCTTGGAGGCCCGACGTCCTTGTCGGCACACTTCCGGCTGGATCAGGCTCTGATACCATTTGTAACGACCCACTCCACCACATGGTATGATATTGTCCACTTTGGGCCTGAGCCTTCAGGGTTTTGCTCTTGGGTTTCACCCCAAAAGACCTCATACCAATTGGAGGTGACACACTTACATATAAGCACTTCACCTTTCCTCTACCCAGGCGATGTGGGACTGTGCACTCGTAGCTCGCTAGTGTGGTAGCCTGACAGTGTCTCTCGCACCCGCCCATGGCACACCCGCCCACAGGGTCATCACCGATTATTCCTCAACGATCACAAGTATGTCCAATATATATATATATATATATATATATATATATATATATATATATATATATATATACAGAGGGAGAAGGAGAGAGATAAGCAATATATATAGATCTCTATAGACAGTGTGAGAGAGATGTTCAGTTTGCCCTGTCGAATCGATGTGTGTGTATATATGTATATATGGATTCAGTTTGGCCAACAAGGTTCAATTCGAATGGTGGAAAAAAAAATTATGAAGTTCCCGTTAATCTATTGCGCTCCTAATTCTGCAACGACTCAGCAAGATTTTTTACTTTATCAACCTTTGTGTTGAAGGGCGAAATCTGTCAAACTACTAACCCATTTCAACAATTCCCCAATCTACAATAAAAAAACAATTTATGGGGTGTCACCACTCCATCCAAAACCCACAACAAGAAGTCAGGCCCAAAATTAACACAACATTATATGAATTGTTACAGAACTGGAAGAAAATAATAGAATTGAAGGCTCACCCAACAACCCCTTGAGACCCGGCATCATCCCCGTGAATATCTAGATGGTTTAACCTATGAAAAGTGTTCTCACTGGCTGGCGTCGCCAAAGCTGCCTCACTCCGGCTCGACGGAGACCCGACGCTGCCACTGGTCGACACCGATTGGCCCGAAACGGTGGTGCCCCACGACCTGGTAGCTCCTCCCCTTGAAGCGGCCGGAGGGTTCTTGTCCCCATTTTATGAATTATAGAAAAAACTTTGGAAAAAAAAAAAAAAAAGATTTTTTAATTTATTAAAAATATGCCAAGAAGATGATGAACAGTATTTTATCTCTCTCCCCCTCTCAGTATTTTATCTCTCTCCCCTTCTTTCTGTGTTTTTATGTCTGTAGATATAAGGGATAAAGGTGTGAACAGGAGAACAGGAATTATTTAATTTTTTTTTCAATCATGTGCTTTGTGAAGAAGATAAACAGTAACTATATATATATATATATATATATATATATATATATATATCATAAGGGTGTGTTTGGGGTGTTTAAAAGTTGTTTGGGTTTAATAGTTACAATAAGTGATATTAGTGTCTTTTCATGCCCAGGAGGGTAATATAGTCATTAAAATTATAGTGTATGTCATGTGCCATCACATGGGTAAGATCCGATCGGAATAGTGACGGATTTAACCGGAATAGTGAAGGATGAGGCTACCTGTCACAAAAATGCATAATTTAGGGAGTTAGTTGTAATTTTAATAGTTCAGAGGGTTAATTGCTGATTCTTTAATAGTTCAGGAGAAATTTTTACACTTTTCCCTTATAAATTTATGGCATCTCGACAAAATTATGACATGTATAGCATTAATCTAAATGAAAGTAGTTTGTTCACTTTTGAAGCAAATATTCTAAATGACAGGCTGACAACATCTGGTAGAATTTGCAATTATGAAATGTGAATTAGTTAATATCATTTCCTGTCCGATGATTATTTCAAATAAAGAAACAAACATGTAGTGAAAATTTATAAATTGTGAGACTAATAGCCAAGACCATAAATCCCATCGCAAAATGATTACCCAATTGCCAATTTTTCTTTGTCTTCAGATCCAGGAGCAGAGTTTGTTTTAACAATACTTAGGTCTTCACTAGTGAACATTTACACCATACTCGAATGTGACCAATAATAAATAGATACATCCTATTTTAATTATCAAATCAGAGATGATAATCAAATCACCATCTCTAATTTAATAAGTGGATATCTATCCCACCATATTTGATTTGAAAATTAAAGATGATATGTTTATTTATTATTGGTCCACATCAACAGTAAGTATGGTATAAATCCTTACCAGTGAGGACCTTAAGTATTGTTCAGTTTGAAAATACACTTTGTGTGTTTGAAATCACATACTTCCACATCTGGCGTTCATTTATTATTAGTCTACATTAACGGTAAATATGGTGTAAATCTTCGAGTATTGTTCAGTTTGGAAAGACCCAGTGTGTGTTCGAAACCACATACTTCCACATCTGGCTTATAGAGTGAACAATGGATGGATGTAGTCGCTATTCAACGGAGGTTAGGTTTGGGTTAAGAAGACTCATTGCAGGTTTCAACCATAAAGAAGATACTGTGAGTGTCTTGTGGCAGACTGATGCATGGTCCAACCTACCTACTTACTTGGCCTACAGAAAACTCTAATTGGTTAAATGCAAACAACAATCCGGATGCTATAAGCTGGAAATACGGGCAATTCAGTTTCAAGGCTGCTTGGAATTGTGTAGACAACAAAGTTTCTTTGGTCCGGAATGGCAGCAGACCCAGGGTATGTATACTTGCTTTCCTAGTATTGCAAGAACCAAATAAATCTCCTTTGGTGCATCAACACGTCCATTTCTCACGGCTGCTATCATGGGGAAGACACCAATGGTTTTTTGGTTTTATGATTTCGGCAAATGGGATGGGGCTCACATCATTTGAAGCAGTTGTAGAGCGGTTTAGTTCTCATTATCAGCGCTGATAATTCAATAAGGAGCAAGGTGGTTTTTTCACTTCCATCATTTGTTGTCACAGAAACAGAGTTCTTCATGGAGGGGATCCATCTACTGCTACAAAGTTTGCTAGGGAAGCTTGTATAGAGACCATGCTCTAGCAGGTTTCTGTTTTTCTAGTCAAGGGTATGCCCAAGACTACAATATTGTTTTCTCTTTAGTGGCCTTTGGCCTCCTACTTTATCTCCATGTACTTTATTCAAACATCAACTCAAAGATTGTGCTACTGGAAAATCCCTGAGTGAAAGAAACTTGAAATATAAATAACTCTGTAGATCTGTCTTCTCCAACCCACTCTATGTCTGTAGGGCAGTATCTTCAAGTTAAAGTAAGGCAGAAATGTCGTTCTACAAAAGCCAAGCATCCCCAATTTCTCGGAAAACAAAAAAGATACGTATTTCTATTTTTACAACTGAGGACCAAAGGGCATCTAATCTAGCCCAATGGTATAACCTTCCCATCCTCAAAGAGGAGGGGAGAGGTTCCAGCCCAGGTGAGGGCAAAAGGGGTGTGTTTGTCTCTTGCATATGAAAAAAAATATTACAACTGAGGTTCGACATCATTTTCTTTAATGATGTCTTTTCTTTAAGAAATAAGGAAGTAGGCAACAAATAATTGAGAAAGATTAAAATGAAAAAAATTCAAAGGCCTACCTATGCAAAAGAGTAAAAATGCCCCAATAGCCATTTTAAAAGGGGAAACATATATATAAATATGAAAAACAAAGAATGTGCATTCAAGTAATTAAGCAAGAGATTATATTACCAGCAGTTATAGTAGTTGCAAAAAGATTTTTCTTTGCCTTGTAGCAGATTAAGGGTATACAAAAGTAATCTAAAAGAACATACAGGGACCTCTAGCAACCACATAGATGACGGATTTTATACAAGAACACATTCTTCCTTTGCAAGAGCATGCGCACAAAAAATCGCTTCTTTGTAGAGTAATCTCCTTTATTCTTTCCTGGTGCAATCAAAGAGCTGAGAACGTTATATTCGAGCATTAAGTTTGTAAAAATTGTTAAGCAAATTAATCCAGTTTCGAAAGCACAAAACCTTGATACTTTGGGAATTTTTCCTTCAACCCCTCCCCACCGCAAACCACCCAACCTGCCCTTTCTGGTGAGAGTTGGGGTGGGACAAAGGGTAAAGAGTTGAGGGGCCAAAGCAAAGATGAAATTAAACAAGACTAGAGAACAATGAGAAATATATAGATGTCCAAGAGTTCCTTTACCCTCTTTTGGTGCAAAGAGAAAGTGACGCAATAATTCAAATTCTGAAATAAGCATGGCATGAAATCAAAAGATAAAAATAATTATAATGCACAATATATACAACTGAGATTTTCAACCCGACAAGGAAACAAAATTTAGTAGAAACTTATGGTCATAGAGTTATATAAAACATAAATAAATTACGTAAATATGTTTTGACTAGTATTTAGGAAAATCTTTAATATTGAAAACTACAAACTCTAATCAAAAGGCAAAGAGGATTTTAATCATATTTTGCACCAAACAGAATTGAATCTAATTTGAGTATGATACATTAGGAACAACCAAGAAAACCAAAAAGAAAATACCTTATTTTAAAATAGTACTGTATGAAGAAGGGAAAAAAACACAAAAACACACACACAATCCTGCAAGAAGTGTATGACAAGAACAATAGATTCATCTCACTTCTCAAATTCTAAGAGCAACTTCACAAATATTCCATTACCTGGAAATTTCAATGTCTTATTAAAGATTCTAAGTGTATGACTTGTTTAAAATTCAATAAAAAAATATATTTAAATGTATGAAAGGAAACAAGGCCAATAATTGTAACAGAAAAAGTCGCAATAAAAATTGAGAACATATTGATGGAACTTCAAATGGTAATTCAATATAAAATTATGAGTGCATAGTTACATATAATATTGTATACTTTTGAAAATTAAGAGGTACAATAAGCATGTTTTTTAACAAGTATTCAAGAAAATTCTTAGTTAAAGAAACAAAAGAAAGAAAGAAAAGAGCAAAAAAAAAAAAAAAAAAAACCCAGAAGGTTTGCATCGAAAACCAAAAAAATGTGAGAGTGCTAGGGACTAAGAATGATTGAATATATATTTGACATGAGACCTTAGAGAGACACCAACACAGCAAAAGAAATCCTCCAATGTCTTCCTTTAAAAAAAGTAGCAGCAGAAATGTAAAAACAGATTCATATTTAAATGCTGTAAAAGCACAACATACTCTTCTCAATTTCTAAATCCTAAGAGCTACTAATTATAAAGTTTCCTTTGAGTGTCCATATTAACCATAAATATAAGATTTGGTTAAAAAAGTTCAGTAAAAACTTTCTCAATCACAACATTATTCACAACTGTATCCAAGTTTGGAACCCAATAAATGAAGAAAAAATAAAGCATACTACTTTAGACATTGTTGCAATCAAAACTTTTCAAGTAGACTTATTCTAAGACGACTCAACTGATAGTGCGAACTCCACTACACATAAATGGATATAAGTAAGGCTTATTAAGCACTAATAGAACTTACTGATGAATTGGGAGTGGTACATTACTTTTTGGACTTGACATTCACAACCCTCAAACCTCCTTTGCTTGCAACATCTTTAAGTGAGAAAAAGCTTGAACGGTAGGAAAACGCATGGAACGCATATACCTTTTCTTTTGGGTAATAAACCTTGAGTGCAGTAAAATTCCCTTTTTCATGATTATAGGAAACTAGAAGGCCATTCATACATGAAATCAAGATCTCTCCATCTCTCCAAAATGTGACTGGAAAAAGCCGCGCCTCGTGTAGAATTGAGGTTTTTAGAATACGGAGTTTAGTCCAAGACTCAGCTACTCCATAATCTTTCATGGACCACATATCAAGATAATTAATGGAATTTTGATATATAGAGAGACAATTTCCCAACACCCCCAAATCAACCTCATCCAAATAGGTGTTTCTCAACTCAAGAGGAAGTGGGATAGGATGGACCTGCTCTTCATCAATATCAAACGGATAGATACTTGTACCCCTCTTGTCTATCCAATGTACAGCGCCATTTAGGTTAACACCATAATCATGGGCTGGATAAGGGGCATCCCCAACATTTCTCCATGTATCTGTTCCAAGAGTATGAACATCAACAGTTGAGTAATCAGCGGGAAGTAATCTAAATCTTAAGACTTTATACTCCTCTGTTGTTGGACTAAATCCAAAACAATAAGTCACTCTAAAGGGTTTTGCATCTGTTTTGGGTTTGGGAAGGGCAACAGATTCTCCCAAAATGGGATTGCTTATGTACACAGTGTCTCTATTGTAATAATTCAGCAAACAGAACAAACCATTACAAGAACCTATCAATTTTTTATTAGATTGGATTTTGAACCTCATTGGCCAGTGTGTTCGATGAACATAATTAGAGTCCTCTCCAAGCTCCAACAAATAGAATAGTCTTCGAGAACCGTTAACCGGTATCACAATATCATCTAAAATGTCCGCCCTCGCGAGGCGAATCTTACGAAAATAAAGGTCATGCATAATTAAGTATTGCCAGTTTTTACAAATGCACTTGCACTTCAAGAGGCTCCTGGTTGGAAGCCTTGAAAGAATATCGACAATAATGGGCGAAGGAAGATGAACACCAACACCAACACCAACACCAGAGGTTGTTTGTTCTTCGTTGCAATTGCTTGTCGCTAAACCTCCAGTTCTGCGTCTTCTTCTGCGCCTTTCCATGGCGCGGTGTCAAAATGATCCAGCAACAATCTTAGAGAACACTACCCTGTATCCTTGCTTCGATTGTTCTCTCTCTGTTCTCTAGAAAACCCTAGCTACCAGGTGAAAAGCTACACTTTCTCTCTCTAAATTGATCCTCTCATAAAGATGTGTCAAAATCAACACAGTTTGAGTCTTGTTGTCTTTAGCTGCAAACTTAGATTGGCCATTGCAACAATTCGATGTGAAGAATGCCTTCTGCATGGTGAATTATTTGAAGAAGTATACATGGATCTCCCACCAGGATGCATGATACCCGAAAAATATAATCGGAAGGTCTGCAGGTTAAAGAAATCATTATATGGGTTCAAACAATCTCTAAGAGCATGGTTTGGAAGATTCACTAAGTCTATGATAGCCTTTGGCTACCGTCAGAGCAATTCAGACCACACGTTTTTTCTGAAGAAACAACAGGGTAAGATCATTGCACTCATTGTATATGTAGATAACATGGTGGTTACAGGGAATGATCTTGAAGAAATGAAGGCTCTCAAGTAGTACTTATCCAGAGAATTCAAAATGAAAGATCTAGGTCCTTTGAGATATTTTCTTGGGATCGAAGTATCTCGATTTAATAAAGGAATCTTTCTATCTCAAAGAAAATATGCCTTAGATCTATTATAAGAGACTGGCATGACAACATGTCAACCAGCTGAGACACAAGTGGAAGAAGGATTGAAGTTATGTGTTGAGTTCAACCAAGTACCTACTAATAAAGGAAGATACCAAAGACTTGTAGGGAAATTGATGTACCTAGCACACACGAGACCGGATTTGGCTTATGCATTGAGCATTGTTAGCCAGTTTATGCATGATCCTGGAGAGCAACATATGAATGCAGTTATGCGGATTTTGAGTTATTTGAAATCTAATCCTGGAAAAGGAGTTTTGTTCACTAAAAATGCTGGTTATCAAAACATAGATGCATATACTGATGCTGACTGGGCTGGAGCTATTGATGATAGACGATCTACTTCTGGTTACTTTACTTTTGTAGGAGGTAATCTTATTACATGGAGAAGCAAGAAACAAAATGTTGTTGCTCGCTCGAGTGCAGAAGCTGAATTCAGAAGTATGGCGCTTGCACTTTGTGAAACATTGTGGTTAAGACTTCTCTTACGGGCTTTGGGTTATCTACCTGGATAACCTATTCGACTATATTGTGACAATAAATTAACATGTGATATTGCCCATAATCCAGTTCAACATGATCGTACGAAACATGTCGAAATAGACATATTCTTCATTAAGGAGAAGTTGGATGGGAAAATTGTGGAGTTGCCTAAGATTTGATATGAGAATCAACTAGCCGACATTCTCACAAAAGCAGTCTCAAATCAAGTGTTTTCAAAATTTTTAGACAAGTTGGGCATGTGTGACATCTATGCACCAACTTGAGGGGGAGTGTTGAGATTTTATCTCATAATACAGCTGTATGATTGAATTATTTACTCCTTAATTTAGGGCTACTTGGTAGGTAATTAGTTACCTATTTTAGCTAAATTCTATTCTATAAATTGAGTGTAACACCATCAATGAAAGTATCAAATACAGTTTTTAATTCTCATATTCTATCTTTGAATTTCAAGAGTTTTGGGTTTGGGAAGGGCAACAAATTCTCCTAAAATGGGATTGCTTATATGAACAGTGTCTCTATCGTCATCCCATAAACAAAACAAACCATTACAAGAATCCATCAATTTTTTATTAGATTTGATTTTGAACCTCATTGGCCAGTGAGTTCGATGAACATAATTAGAGTCTTCTCCGAGCTCCAACAAATAGAATAGTTTTCGAGAACGAGAACCGTTAACCTATATCACAATATCATCTAAAATGTCCGCCCTCGCGAGACGAATCTTACGAAAATAAAGGTAATGCATAATTAAGTATTGCCAGTTTTTACAAATGCACTTGCACTTCAAGAGGCTCCTGGTTGGAAGCCTTGAAAGAATATCGACAATAATGGGCGAAGGAAGATGAACACCAACACCAACACAAACACCAGAGGTTGTTTGTTCTTCGTTGCAATTGCTTGTCGCTAAACCTCCAGTTCTGCGTCTTCTTCTGCGCCTTTCCAAGGCGCGGTGTCAAAATGATCCAGCAACAATCTTAGAGAACACTACCCTGTATCCTTGCTTCGATTGTTCTCTCTCTGTTCTCTAGAAAACCCTAGCTACCAGGTGAAAAGCTACACTCTCTCTCTCTAAATTGATCCTCTCGTAAAGATGTGTCGTTTGATTCTCTCTCCGTTCTATAACGTCTCATTCTTTGTGATCTCGTCTCAATAAAATCTTTTATGTATCTTCCGATTCGTCTCGAAACCCAAGTGTCGTTGTTCCCTAGGAGTATTTTGATTTTTAATTGTTTTGATTCCTGCCGCTAATCTATTTAAATTTATTTTTCAAACAATCCAACATTGAAATGTCGACCAATTTTAGGTTCAATATTTAGGGCGCAAATCCCAGCTGTAGATTCTCAAACTGTCTCTTGTAGTAAATTTTTTTGTGGTGTATATTTGGTCACGTTCATTCACCATCATTTGACAATTGAGACTGTATTTGACAATTACATCACTATTTATAAGTAACATTTCACTACTATTTATAAATAACATTACAGGATCTAAAAAATAACATCACAAGAATCTAAAAGTAACATCACCATTTATGTGCATACCTTAATTTAAGGGTGAAAATACTTACAAATAGTGGTGGTGAAATGTTATTTATAAATGGTAGTGTAATTGACAAACACAGTATGTTGAATTGAGTAACGTTTGTATGTGACATTACTTAGTCTGTATTATGTGCATAATTTATTTTGTGTGTAAAGATACTTATAAATGGTGGTGAAGAAGGATCCAAATGCTGTCTCAATTCCACTCAAACGTTGCCTTAAGAGCTATTAAATGAAGAATGATGTGGCAAAATATAGGCCACTTAAAACTCACAACAGAGGACCGCATAGGAATCGCACAGCAGATGATTTGCGCCCCAATATTTAGATTACACACATGGAAAAATGACAAAGATATGTTTGTTATATATTATATACTGGGGTAAAAATCACCTCTAGTCCAACAGTTGCTCATTTCCTCCATTTTAAAATAAGTGGCTCAGAACTGGCCACGTCATTTAAAATTTGGGTTGAAACTTTTTTAACTGATACGGTATAGGGCCATATATTATATAATAAATAGTGTATAATACCGTATATTGGTGGTAATTTCCCTCATTTTGACATTTACATCTTCCCTCATTTTTACATTTACTTACATGTGAGGCTGTGAGGCGGGCGAAGAAGAAGAATTGAAGAACAGCGGTCTGAGGCGAAGAAGAAGAAGGAAAAAAGGAAGGTCTTGTAATGTTTTCGATTTTCACCATTTTTTATTTTTCTAGAATTTTCTGTTTTTGCAAGGGTATTTTCGTATTTTTTCATTTTGCGTGCCATACATCGTGGGGTATGTCGGGTGTGTTCGAGAGTTGGTTGGGACATTTCCTTGAGTTTAGGATTCTTGGAAATGCACCGATTGCTATTTTGGCATTTTTCCGTCTTTCGGGCCGGAAAGTCCCGGGGGGACCCGCTACCGAAATTGTCGCGTACGGGAGTTTTATTTGGATCCATTTGCATCTCATTCATTTTTATTTATTGTGTTTTATGTGGATGTGGTATGGTTAGTGTATATATACATATATATATGTATATATATATATATATGTGGTGGAAATTAAAAGTTAAAAAGATTTTTTTTAGTGGTGGGACCCACCACCACTAACATTTGTTTTTAGTGGCCAAGAGGCCACTTTGGCCTCATTTTCTTCTCTCTCCCCGACACTCTCTCTTTCTTCCTCTTCTCTTTTCTTTTTTCTTTTTTTTTTTTTTTCTTCAAAACTTCAAGCTTTGATTAATCTTTAATAGTTGGGAGTTTGTGGGAGCCGTTTGCGGCAAATCGGAGAGCTCGTTGGGATCTATGCATTGATGTAAGCAATTCCTTGTTTGGCCAACCATTGGATTTTTAAAAATTTAGGAATTTTTGGGGGTTTTTCATCTAGCTTGCGGTAGGGGTTTCTAATTCACATTTTCTTGCACTTTTGTAAATTTTCCTTGTATGAATTATTATCTAGTATGCCTATCTGGTATGAATTCTTGCAAAATTGTTTAAATGTTGTATATGAAATGTGTAATTATGTGTTAAATGATATATTATGATTATGCATGCTTATATGAAATAAATTCATGTTTTATAAGCTAATCATGCTAGAATTATTGATGAATGAAAGCATGTATTTTTGGTATTTCATGTAAAGCATGTTAAGTGGTTTATACTTGAATTAAATGTATGATAATGAGTATTGGCATGGCATGAAATGGCATAATGCATTCATGCATAAGCATTGGGAAAGAAATGGGAATGTGGTTTTGAAAGAAATGAAAATGGGTTTTGGGTAAAAGCTTTTGAAAGGGTTTGCGAAAACCAGGCCGCCTAGGAGTTGCCTAGGGACCGTGGCGTTAGTGTGGCCTAGAGGGGATTAGGGAGATTACCTTAGCGTGGTTGAGTTACCTGGGCCCAAATGACGCCATGGAGTTGCATAGGTCGGGACAGTTAGCCAATTCTCCTTTCGTGTCGCCATGGAGTTGCCAAGGGATGGGTTTCACAAACAGTTTAGAAATGATGATGGACAAGGTTTTGGAAATGAGGAGCGACATTACATGGCATTGCATCCTATTGCACGGCATAATTCATTCATGACTCAGATTATTGATATTGATATTATAGTTATATTCTTCCCGGAAGTGGCATGATTCCAATTCCTTTATTCCTATTCATTGTGTGGATTCACGGGGTCTCAAGAGGTGTACCTTAGGCACCTCCTACTGAGCTTATGCTCACCCCTTCATCTTAACATTTTTCAGGTCACGGAAAGGAGGTGGTAGATGACAATCCACTACAAGCATGAAGGGGTTAGAAGGGTGTTTAGTAACCTTTTGTATTTTGGGCCATTCTTTTGTATAGCATCACGTTAAAAATGTATAAACCTTGTATAGTGATCGGTTGGTCAATTAAACATCAACCTTCGCAATAGCACGAATCATTGTAAAATAGGGCTATTGGTCGGGTAAGTCGAACCACTGGGACTGCGCTAATCTATGGCAACCTAAGTGTCTAGAGTCATTTTAGAGTGATAAGGGGTGTTCATAGAGGGTTTGTTTTGTTTGTCACTAAACTTGGAATTCAAATGTGCATAAAACAATAGTGCTAGTAAATGAGAGTTAGAGATAATAAAAGGGGAAACTAGGGAAGTGAATCCACCTACGCCCTAAATACATGCTAAATCAAGACTAAATTGGGGATAAACACTATATAAGCAATGATAAAAAATTATGTAGCAACACATAGTTGCTTCATAACCAATAAAAAGTTCATGAGATTAAAACAAGAATGGTCTATCAAAAGACAACACATTTGGACTACCTAGACTAGGGTGTAGTATCAAATACATTAACTTAAGCAAAAGACCATCAAGCATTTAATCAAATGATGAAGCACATGAAGGTAAGAATCAAGCATAGTCCATCAAAGGAGGTACCTAAGCAATGGAATATCAAGTTTCAAAATCAACATGCCTTGAAAACCATTCATAGTTAATATCTTCATTGTCACTATGAAAATAAAAGCAATAAGACTAATGTAAGAATTATCAAGACAAGCTAAATAACTCACATCAATCATTTAAACATGAATAATCATTACAAGAAGTAATAAGCTCTTAAACTATGAAAAGACCAAAGTTTATACATTATAATCCCCAAAATAGAACCTAATCTAGAACATGAACAAAAGGGGAGGCTTCATCACCTCCCTAAAAGAGGTTTAGTTACCCATGGTGGCCCTAGATGAAGGAAGAAGCAAGGCTTTCCCCTCAATTTTCGAGCTTCCTCCTTGAAGCTTCAAGAACTCCTCCCCTTTGCTCTCTTCTCTCTCCTCTAATCTTGTAGAATGAAGCTTAATGATTTTGTGTGGCCTTGCTTCCCTTTATTAGATATCTTATCCACTCAAAGAGGCTACCAACCAACATCTCCAACCACTTCATTAAAGAGGAAAACAAAATGAAGAAACCAAGGTGCAAGTGGGCTGAAATGAG